TCTTCTCAAAATGATGTTACATGAGAATGGGAGTGTTCTTCTTTATTTATTCTACCGTATCAATGTAGAGACAACCTGTACACAATGTAACTTGTACACAAACCAGACGTGTACACTGTTTACAAAACTTACCTTCGCCTGGTTTGTTTACATAACTCTGCGCCTGTACTCTCTCATGCACTCATTCTTTCTCTCTCTCTCTCTCTCTCTCTCTCTCTCTCTCTATTTATTCGTTTTATCTCATTTACTTACTCCTGACCCTACAATAAGACTACAAATATTTTAAGGTAAGTAATGAGTGAACTGTATATACATTTTATCGCTCTGGGATGCTTAAATATCATAGAATTGTATGTGTGGGTGGGGTGGCCTGGTATGGTAGCCTGGCTGACTACCATACATACCACACTCGATTTCTTACAATAAATACTACTTGTCTCACCCTAGATTAAGACTATAAATATTTTAAGGTAAGTAATGAGTGCACTATGTGTGTATTGTACTTTTTTATTGTTTTTTGATGCCTGGTTCTATTGCTAACTTAATATATGTTAGTGTAAACTTGTTATCTAGTGTTTGTATGCATTTGTAAGTGGAAAAAAAGGGTGTTCCACTTTACGGAGGTTTCTGCTTTACGGCGGTAGCCTGGAACCTAACCAGCCGTATAAGTGGGGCCTTCCTGTATATGCATGCGAGTGTCTGTGAAGTGTGAAAAAAGTGTAAGTAGGAGTAGCAAGATATCCCTGTTATCTAGCGTGTTTATGAGACAGAAAAAGAAACCAGCAATCCTACCATCATGCAAAACAGTTACAAGTTTCTGTTTCACAGTCATCTGGCAGGACGGTAGTACTTCCCTGGGTGGTTGCTGTCTACCAACCTACTACTACTGTCTTGAGTATCTACAATAAAAGGAAGTCACAAATGATGATTAATATCAATTACATAAAATGCATATACATTAACAGTAACTAGGACATTTTATTAAGAAAACATTTCACTAACCCCTGAATTGATAAACCCACTGTTTGGCAAAATATTTCCTTAATAAAATATCCTATTTACTATACATGTCTTTTTTACTTACAATAAAAAAAAAAAGACCCAAAACAAATTTTTCTTCACATATTTTAAACAAGTTTCAGTAACTTAAGCTTATGAATTTTCTCAATGTAATAGCAAGTAGAAACACCATTTTACTCAAATCTGTGACATACATTTGTTTAAGCATTAATTTTTCATCAACAGACTGTGTACACAAACTATTAGCCCATTAGTACTTAAACCAATGAATTTTTAAAAAATAAATTATTTTTAACTGGAGTTATGACTCTGCCATGGGTTAAAGCCCCACCCGTGATATGGTTTGTTTGCAATCATGCCACTATGATTTCACAAGTCATGATGACGGCTTTGAAGGGATCTGAACCAGAGTTAATCATGGCCACGGTGGTGGGAGATTTATCTGTAAAAAGTTGCATTTGTGGTCACAGTGGTGCTAACCTTCCTATGGTGTATAAATATACCTAGTTGGATGAATCTTATTGTAGCCAGTTGGCCCAGTGGATAATGCGTTGGTCTGGAGTTTTACAACTCTCTGACCGCAGGTTCAAGCCCCACTCATGGAATGGTTTAAATTATTTTTATTATAAAACACGAGAGCTACTACAGAACCGATAGTACAGCAAGTCCTCACTTAATGTCATTGATAGCTTCTTGGGAACTGTGACTTTAAGCAATCCTCGCTGTCCATCATCAAACCTGTTTAAAACTTCTAGTTTTATTTCTAATATCACTTTTCTGTGGTCACAGACATCAAAAGGTGCACAGTGCACCTTTAGCATTCATTGCAACAGGGTTAAATCAAGGAATAAATGTCTGCAAAGCAAAAGCTGAAAGGAGCACCTCCTACCAACAAGCAGTTCAATAATAAACAACAAATATGACAGGCTTGCTGAGCACTTTCATACTGCATTGTTTACTGTTGTGTATTTGTATAATTATTGTATACTTTACGAATTTTTATTTTACTGTCTCCACACAGACAGTGGCCCTGGCCAGGAATAGATTTCTTCTCAAAAGTTATAACAAAATGACGATGAACGAAACAATGTTATTCGAGGACTTACAACATAGCTTTTCTCATAGTCATATTTTTCTTTTTTGTTTCTTCTTACCCAAACACCCAGTCTATTTTTTTACCCAATTTCTACTTCAGTTATCTTCTTCCTGTGGCTGCTTTCTTACATTATTTTTCCTTTTGTCTGCAGTGCTTTATGCATGGGGGTAAACAAGTCAGGAAGTATAATGAAGCACCTATGGTCTAAAGCTCTTCACCTTTGTTAGAACAAAGACAGATGGTTTCAAGAGGAATCTGGACCAGTATGCAGTAACCAGATCAGCTAAGATGACAGGCTCATTATAATAATTGGAGACAGTGTGTGTGCAATAATATACATAAACAAATCTCTCACCTTACCCTCACACCCTACGTTCACCAATACCTGACCTCACCTGACCTCAATACTGTGACCTCACATGTGACTTGTCTATCTCCGTGCCTGACCTCAAGAGTGCTTGTTTGCCTTGATAAAGCCCAGTTTTAAGTGATAAGCTGTACTAAATAGATACTCTGCTACCAGTGCCTTAATTTCCACTAACTGGCTTTTGCTCTTGTATACCTGAGAAAGCTATGCAAGTCTGCTGGCAACAACAGTCCAATTGACCAAGATGAAGTCTGTCAAGAGCTTAGCTTTGAAAGCAGTATAACTCTTAATCAGTCAAGTATTTTGACCAGTGTTTCAGATTTTGCTGTAATCTTTAATGTTCTGATGTGTGGCAACAATTAGTTTCAGAAATGTTTAGTAAAAGGTCCTATGTGCCATCTACTCTTTACTAATGGATGAAACATTTATGGTTCAACTATTTATAAATATTTATGCATAATGAGCCTTACTTTATCCACTGGGTTAGCTTTCAGTTAGTGAAAAAATAATGAGTATTATTAGAAGGGAAATATTAAAATAAAGAAAAAATTTTCTTGAATAGAAGGTCATTCATACCACTTAATCAAGCTGCTGCTGCTGCTGCTGCTGCTTCTTTCAACAAACTGGCCATATCCCACCAAGGCAGGGTGGCCCAAAAAGAAAAACAAAAGTTTCTCTTTTTAACTTATAATAATTATAATATTTTATTTCAGCACAATACAGTTTATACATAGATGGGTGACATTTAGGTGTGCATGCAGAAAGTCCATAGTTATGAGGAGCATTTTAGGCAAACTTAAGCCTAAAATGGCAAAAACTAATTTATATAAGGACATTAAGGGTTCATAAACAACAAATTTAGGAATTACAAGAACAAACAAACAGTCAATTATTTCTTAAAGTTGCATTATGATAACTAAAGAGGTTATCATTTTTTAAGAATAAAAATTTTAAGGGAATAAGCCCACCGAGTATACCAGGTAAAGTTTATGGTAGGGTTATTATTGAAAGAATTAGAGATAAGGGGAGAAGGATTGCAGATGAACAAGGAGGCTTTAGAATGAGTAGGGGATGTGCAGACTAAGTGTTTACATTGAAGAATACAAGTGAACAATATTTAGATAAAGGTAAGGAAGTTTTCATCGCTTTTATGGATTTAGAAAAGGCATTTGATATGGTGGATAAGGGAGCAATGTGGCAAATGTTGCAAGTGCATGGAATAGGTGGTAAGTTACTAAATGCTGTTAAGATTTTTAATGAGGATAGTGAGACTCAGGTTAGAGTGTGTAGAAGTGGGAAGATTACTTTCCAGTAAAAGTAGGTCTTAGACAGGGATGTGTAATGTCACCATGGTTGCTTTACATATTTATAGATGGGGTTGTAAAAGAAGTAAATGCCAAGGTGTTGGGAAGAGGGTTGGGATTAAATGATGTGGACTCAAATACAAAATGGGAGTTGACAGATACTTTTTGCTGATAATACTGTGCTTTTGGGAGATACTGAAGAGAAGTTGCAAAGGTTAGTGGATAAGTTTGGGAGGGTGTATAAAAGAAGAAAGTGAACATACATAAGAGTAAGGTGATGAGGATATTAAATGAGTTAGGTAAGGAAAAAACTGGATATCAGATTGGAGGGAGGGAGCATGGAAAAAGTGATTGTGTTCAGATATTTGGGAGTAGACTTGTTGGCAGACAGATTTATGAAGGATGAGGTAAATCTTGCTACTTCTATTTACACTTAGGTCAAACTACACATGAATGTACAAGCGTTTATATAGCAAAACAGGATGACTAAGTGTATAAATCTATAGTGGAGGGAAGGAGGGCTACTGGGTCATCCTAGGAAAGGATGGAGGGAGGAAGGTAAAAGAGGTTTTGTGTGCAAGGGGCTTGGACACACAGTAGGCATATGCAAGCATGTCAGATAGGAGTGGAGACAAATGGTTTACAAGACTTGACAAGCTGTTGGAGTGTGAGCAGGGTAATATCTTATGAAGGGATTCAGGGAATCCAGTTAGCCAGACTCGAGCCCTGGAGGTGGAAAGTACAATACCTACACTTTAAAAAAGGGGTTTGGGATATTTGCTGTTTGGAGTGACATCTGAATTGTCATATCTGTGAGCCTCTGCAAAGACATTGATATCTGTGAATAACAGCGTGTTTCTTTTTTTGGGGGGTTCACCCTGCCATGGTAGGGGACGGTAGGGGTGTTTAAAAAAAAAAAAAAACAGTCCTTAGCTTATAGCGAGTGGCGAATATATTTACATTAGCAAAATGCCAAAGCGAAGCACTGTAAAGCAGGGGCTCATCTGTACTAATGAATTTCAGAGAAAAGTATCAGTCCTGGCAAGGTACCACAGTAGTAAATTTCAGAGAAAAGTATCAGGCCAGTCATAATTTATTCTTCAAAAGACATGGAAAGAATTTGGTACCAAAATGATATAGGTGGGATGACATACAAATGCATTAAACAAAAAGAATTTTACAAAGCCAAAAGTTACCAGGGAGTCATTCTTACCCAGAAGTGTGGAGGAGTAGTAAGATGCTGGGAGGAGGTCCTCTACAGTTGTACACATCACCCAAAATGCTTCCTCCTCCTCCAAAAATAGCAGGAGGGATGCAGCAATCATCCCTGTGCCCTGGCAATACCTGACATGCACACTGTTAGTACCCATGCAACAACTTCAAGCCAATTCTTTGTCTCTTTTACAAGAAGTAAAAAAAAGAATGAAGATTAAAATTTTTGATTTAATATGGCACAAAGCTTTTTATTTTTTAAAGACGATTATCTTCAAATTGTAATCTTATAGTAAATAAGGAACATTCTAGTAACATCAGTTTTAACAAGCAGCAAAATGTAATCATACTGCAGGAATACAATTTCAAATGTTGATTATGACAAAGAATCACCTTTCATTGATTACTGACATTAATTCTCCTTCTCACCCTTCATGCAAGACAGAGAAATATTAGGCAATGTGTCTTCAAAAATATTAGTGTATTAGTAAAGAGTAAAGATAACATTAAGAAATTTATATTAAATACACCACTAATGCAGGTTCCAATACTAATTTTATTAAGCATTTTTGTGTTCAAAACATAAAAGATCAAGAAAATTATGCCTGTACTGTAGGTGTATTAAGAAACAAATGGAAATTGAATGTGTGAATAAGTAAGCACCATTACATCTGGACATGCACATGTCCCCACTATATTTAAAGTAGAAGTGATTCGTGCAGATCATCTCCCAATGCTTGTTACCATACATCTCTTAACACCAGTTAACAATGACCAGTACCAGAGTTTTTTTAACCCTTTCAGGGTCCCCAGGCCCTCACCCAGACTTGTTCTCAGGGTCACCCAAATTTAAAAAAGAAAAATATTTTTTCTTGTGAAAAGACAGAGAATCTTTTCCTGATCATAATGACACCAAAAGTATGAAATTTGATGAAAAACTTACGGAATTATGCCCTCGCGAAGTTAGCGGTCTCGGCGATGTTTATGTATCGGCGATTTTGCCCACTTTGAGCCCTATTTTCGGCCAATTCCAGTGTACTAGTCAACAAAAATCATAGCTATTTCGCTAGAACTCCATTTTTTCTATCGAATGAGTACAAGAAACCACCCATTTACTGATTTCAACTATCCAATACAGTGGTCAGAATTTAGCAATTTTGCCAATTTCACACAAATTTCAAAAAGATGCCAATTTCTAAATAGAGTCCAGAATAAACAAGAAATTTCATTCCTGGCACTAAAGTAACATTTTTCCCCTTTTTCATCAGTCACATCCCCACGCCCCTCTTACATTCTTTTGCTTTCCACTTTGAATTTTTTTCTCACAAAAAATAGAAGATTTACTGTTATGCAAAAACTACTGCATTAGTGTAAAATGGTAAAAAAATAAAATCAGCACACTTGTGACAGAATATTAGACTCACCAGTTGACGTGTATTGGATGCTTAGCATGATTTGTTTACTTTTGAACTATGGTAAAAATCGAACATTTCTGCTACTCTGAGCTCAATTTCAAGATACTTTTCATCGTAAAACCAGTCAAAATCATCTCAATTTTTTTAATATGTCTTCCATTCTATAAAATGAGACCAGGAAAACTAGAATACAACAATAAATACCAAACAAAAATACAGTGCAAAGTCGCTGTTTTAATCCAAAAACACTGTCAAAGTTTTTTTTCTCATTATGCACTGTGTGCTGCAGGATTTTTTTTTATACTGCATACACTGACCACATAGACCCATTCTTTCATATGTAGGCCTACCAGCTTTCTCTCACTAGATTTGAGGACGCTAGAATTTAAGCGTACTAGTACGTCAAAAACCCTGGTGCATAAGCCGTACTAGTACGTCCGAAACGCCTGAAAGGGTTAATATCCCACTTCATAGGTCTCATCTCCAGCTGGGCTCCTCCGAGAAGCAGGCCTTATCTATGGAAGAATTTTCCCCACAGTTTGTGAAGGCACTTCAAAAAGTTACTTTAGTTCCTCCACACGCTTCTTTTCCTCACCAGTGAAGCACTACTTCTTACTTATCAACTCTAAGACACATTCATCTATATTTTTGTTTTTTAAACTTGAAATCTTTTTTCTCTAATATAACCACTTTCAAGCTAATAAACTATTATCAGTCTCCATGTGGAGAGAGAATTTTGAAGTCGTCTGTCTCACTGTCTTTACAGGTGGCAAATCCTTTAGCCTGTATTAAACTAAAGAAGCCTGCTGTTCATTTAAAATGTTTTGATTAGATACCTATGCATATCAGTATCAAGTTAAACTTTGAATTCACATACGTGCAAAATTCGATACGAATATGGTCGCTCATTAATATGGATGCACATCCATCTGATGGCACTTCTGTAGGTATAAATTAAATATCCGTCTTCCATTTAGTCTTCTCAACATTACAATTCTTATCTCTTCTTTATGAATATATGTTATAGAATTTTAATACAGTATTAATGCTACAAGAAAGATTTTTACGGTTACATCACAGTCAACTGTTGTGAAATTAAGACACATGTGCAACATCTGGGTATCTTTATTGTAGACGTTTCGCCATCCTGTGGCTTTATCGATACAAATTCTCCACGACTATGGTGCTCTTCACACCTACTCCTAGGTTGAGGGACTGATTACCTCATCTTCTGTATATAGTCCTACTGTCTCCAAGTTATGTCCTAGAATTTGTATTGATAAAGCCACAGGATGGCGAAACGTCTACAATAAAGATACCCAGATGTTGCACATGTGTCTTAATTTCATATTGTCGGTATTATATACCATACTTGCACAGTCAACTGTTAGTCTAGTGTTTGCACCACAAAATTAAAAAGAGCCATAGGTTATCTGAATAAAATATGTACAATAAATTTCCTGAACCCCAAAAGAACTGTCACCATGAATCCTTGGCCCAGTGCTCTTGACACAAGTCCAAACCAGCCATAAAAAAAATTAAAAAATAAAAAATTTTCTATGACCCCAGATACTTTTCTTTTGTTCATCTTTCTTGTAAATTTCAATATTACCATCACTAGAGCAGTACTGCATTTAATGCATTAACTTTCAGCCCTGCACTTGCACTGTGAAATTGCTACCAGCCATGAATTTTTTTTTCAAAGAAGTAATTAATTTCCCCAGAACCCAGATGTTCCATTTCACTAATATTTTTTTTTTTTTTACCTAAAACTAGCAAGGCAAAATATCTACCTAACACTAATGGAGATTCTGCACCAAATAATCCAGGTAAACAGACTGCTGCACTTTAAACTGTCTTTTTTTTTTTATCAACCACAAATAACATTTCCTTTTGATGTACAGTACACAGTAGATTACCAATTATCTGGTAATCAGTTATCCAGCTTCCAGCATTATCTAATGGCTTTGGGCACTATAGCACCTAAACAGATGTTAAAAAAATAAATGTAAAACAAAGGACCATATCAAACGATTTTTAATTCTAAACGTGCAATCCTAATTAAATTTGAGAATGAGAAAAATGACACAGAGTCATATATCTTATGAAAGTATACAGTCCTCACTAAGACATACCCAATGTCTGGGTAGAGCCAGGCAAGTGCGCGTAGTACTCGTCTCAGACGTGGGATGCCAGTGGAAGTGAGCTGGGAGAAGCAAGCATTGGAAGGCATGGTGCGTAACAGATCTTTTTCTATTTGTTTACTCGTCATGAGTGCATCATTACTGGAAGCTTTTACCACCTCCCGGTAAGAGATGTCCGACTGCTGCTGCTTTTGAAGAGCTCCTGTAAGTTAAGGGATGCATCTCTAAATATCAGTTATAAAATAAAAAAAAATTGGTTATAAAAAAAATCCCTAAACCTGAATGTTAACTTATGAAGGTCACAGTTTCCAAGAGAAGCAATGTTATGCATAGGCAAGATACTGTACAGGACATACACAGCCTCTCCTCACTTAATGACAGAGTTCCATTCCTAAGACTACGTTGGTAAACGAATTCATCGCTAAGTGAGGAGCATACTATAATGGTAGTGGGTTTTTGTCAACTATCTTTGATATTGTTTTAATGTCACCTTTGCACCATTTATAACATATCTGGTATATTTTTAAATGTTTATACAGTAGTGCACTGTATATTGCAATAAACAGAATAAAGAAAATCATCTCTAATATACATTATTTGGGTATGCATACTGGTCAGAAAGCCCATTCAATGTCTGAGTCATCGGTAAACAAGTACATAGTTAAGTGAGGAGAGGCTGTACACAATGCTGGCATTATCTGCAACAGTTGGTTTGGGTAAAAATTAATAATATTTAACCACCTCTCCTGACAAATGACTTTAATTTGGTAATACTTGTTGCAATTTTCATATCCTTTACTGCATTTTTTAAGAGATAAAGTAGTTATTTATTATTTCAGCTAAACTTTATCTCAAGTCAGCTAACTAGTTCCCCTGAATCCCTTCATAGATATTACCTTTCTCAACGTTTCATCAAATACTAAAACCCACCTACCTAGCCTACTCACTTAATACAGCATGCTCACATATGCTTACAGGATACTCAATTCATTAACTCTTAAAACTTTCTTCATATCTTCCTTCCAACTCATCCTTGGCCATCCCTCTTAATTGATCATCTCAATTCCTCATCCACTGTTACATGCATTTCAATTTATTATACTACATTCTAACTTAGACTATTCTCTATATATTTATACTTTACACTAATCTTAAACATGATATTTTCATTGCCTCCACTCTTCTTGCTGCAATATTCAAGGACCATGTCTCACACCCATACAAAACTACTGGCCCTATTATACTTTAACCCTTTCAGGGTCCAGACCCAAAATCTGAGACATGTCCACAGGGTCCAAGAATTTAATAATAAAAAAAAAAAAAAAAAAAAAAAAAAAAAAATTGCTATTTTTTCTAATGAAATGGTAGAGAATCTTTTCCTGAAGGTAATAAAACAAAAAGTACGAAATTTGATGGAAAATTGACAAAATTACGCTCTCACGAATTTTGATGCGTCAGCGATATTTACGCATCAGCAATTTTGCCGACTTTGACTCCCATTTCAGGCCAGTTACGTTATTCCATTTTACCAAATTTAGCCATTTCGCTAGTATTACTTCTATTTTATCAATTGAGCACAAGAAATCATCAAGTCAACTGTTTCAACTACCCAATAAAGTGATTGGAAATTGGTAATTTAGCCAATTTAATGCAAAGTTCAAAATATTGCAATTTCAAAATAGGGTCCAGAATAAACAATGCAGGCATTCCTAGCACTAAACTAACATTTCCTATGTTCATTAGTTATGTTTTCAGGCCTTATAAATGAATTCCATTTTGATTTTTGATTTTTTTTTTTTTTTTTTTTTAATCACACTGGCCGATTCCCACCAAGGCAGGGTGGCCCGAAAAAGAAAAACTTTCACCATCATTCACTCCATCACTGTCTTGCCAGAAGGGTGCTTTACACTACAGTTTTTAAACTGCAACATTAACACCCCTCCTTCAGAGTGCAGGCACTGTACTTCCCATCTCCAGGGAAGATTTACTGTTATGCAATATTGTAATAATTGTATAAATAATATCAGTGCATTTGTGGATGCACATAAGATCCACCAGCTGATGTGTATTGGACGAGTGATGTGATTTATTTACTAATGAACATCGGCAAAAATTGAACATTTCTGCTACTCTGAGCTCAGATTCAAGCCATTTTCAGTACTAGAACCAATCAAAATCATCACTATTTCTGTAATTTATCTTCCATTCTATGAATTGAGACCAAGAAATCACAAATACAACTATAAAAAACATACGAAAAAACACGGTAAAGTTGCCGTTTTAATCCAAAATTACGGTCTCAGTTTTTTTCTCTCATTATTCACTGTGCTGCAGGATTTGTTTTATGTGGTGCACACTTACCACATAGATGTATTCTCTCATATCTAGGCCCAAATTTACCACTCATAGCTTATTTGAGTGAGTTAAGGTCATGGCGTAGAACTACAGTTTGGACCAGAACTCAAAGCTATAGAACTACAGCACAAACCCTGAAAGGGTTAAATTCATTCCTATACTTTTGCATTCACCAACAAAAGTATTTCTTTCCTCATAATCCTCAACATTCCATCTAGTTTCTTTCCCTTCTATCCTCCAATTCATTATTTCTCGTATACCCATCTACCAACACACCCGCTTTAATTATCTCAAGTTAATTTGTCCATACTCCTTCCTCCCAGAAAATCTAAGTTTTCATTCTTTCATTCCTAGCATTCTCACTCTTATTATTTCACTTTCTTGTGTTCACTTTTAATTTCCTTTTTTTAGTACACACTTCCACCTTATTCCAACTTCTGCAACTTCTCTTCTGACTCCCTCAAATATTCAGTCACTAGTAAAAAGTAACTATGACAAGTTCCAATTAATCTAAACTTCATTACCTTTTAAAAATTACAATTCTAACACACTAGCATTTCTTTCTTTTTACAACACGTGATCTACATTACCTTCCTATTATAAATTCACCTTGTTCTTCTGTGATCCTACTTCTCGTATCCTTTCATAATTCTGCCATATATGTACATACTTAGCATTCCCTAATACAAGTACATAGAAATTATGCATGCTGTCTGCCAGTCATTAGATACCCTTTGTATGGGTGTGTCACTCATACAAAAGATTTCTAAATGATGCAGTGAGAAAGATGAAGGCAGTGTAGAAGTTGAAGAAATCAGAAGATGGTATGGTGGAATAAAAGGTATAATTGACCAAGAATGTACAAATCTGGGACGAATGGAAGGCAGCTGAATAAATAATACTGTAAAAGTATTAGAGAATGTACTAGGGTAATTTAGAATAAAAACATACCAGATAGCCTCATCCACAGTTGTGGACGAAGGGAATGTGGTACTCCAGCCTTGACCATACCACGCAGCTTATCTGTTCTAGGTAATCGTACATCCACATGGTCCCAGGTAAGCTCGCCAACTTCATCACTGTGACTGAACTCTAAATAAGCTATCCATTGTAATCTGTAAAATAAGACGTGGAATGCAGCATTTCCAATCATTTGAGAACCTGCTATATAGGAGACACCCTCAATGAGTTTTTTCTTCAATAGGGTTTCATGTCTCAAAGGAAAAATGATCAATTAACTATTAACTGGAGAGAGCGATAAAGCAGGAAAAGTACAATAACTCAATGAAATTAGGAGTGCCATACGCACAATTAGAAAACACTGCCAACATCCATTTGCTGTGATTCTTTGAACTCCTAGCAGCAATTCTGTACATGTGCCAGATCAGTCAGGCTGTGATAGTTATTTGGGGCTACAAGGCAGTGTCAACAACAGTCAGCAAGGAAGTCCGACATCATGCCAGGCTATGTAAGAATCCTTGAAACTGGTCACAGGTACTATTTGCACAATTTTGAGAGAATACTACTAATGACAAGGAAGACTGTAGAAACTAGTGTTTCAGTGAGGACTAATTCTTTAAAGACAAATACTGTCATAACAATATGTAAAGATCACAGAGATGTAGACATGGCTCTTTAAAAACAGCAGCACAAACTAAGAAGATACTGGTACAATGCATAACCATTAAGAGTAACAGAATTAACATCTTTTTTACTCTCTTCCACTACACTGTATGCCCTTATGCTACTTTTCCCCATAGTTACTGATATATCTACACAGTAGAACCCCCATACCCACTGATTCGGTATCTGTGGTTTCAGTTATCCACGGTTTACTGCAACTCAAAAATACCTCTTAATTTTGCAGTATAATAGTGCCAAAACACAAAAGTAGATAAGCTGGCAGTTCTTCAAAGCCTAGGAGAAGCTGTGAAGTGCTTACTATCAGAGACAGTGATAATTCTCTACTTATTGTGAATAATTTAACAATTAAACTTTATACAGTGGACCCCCGGTTATCAGCTGCTTCTGGTATCTGCCAACTCGGTGATCAGCCAGTTTCTCGGTGCCCAGTTATCACCCGTTAATTCGGTGATCAGCTGTTTGGGACACGTCCTTCCGCCGGCTGGGGCCACTTGCGCATCAGTTTGGCTGTCTCTCTCAGTGGCTGAGGAAGCTTCTGCTCATGCATCCAAACATTTCGTTATTTCCCATTGTAGTTTGTGTTATTTTTGCAGTGCAACTGTGAAATAAGTAACTATGGCTCCGAAGAAAGTTCCTGTGGTAAAGAAAGTGAGAAACACCATGGAATTTAAGTGTGAAGTGACTGAAAAATATGAGAGTGGTATGAGGGTGCTGGAACTTGCCAGGATGTACAGCAAGGATAAATCAACAATTACATCCATCCTGGCAAAGAAAGAACAAATCAAGGATGCTAATGTTGTGAAGAGTAACTTTTCTAACCAAACAAAGGCCACCAATAATGGAAGAGATGGAAAAGTTATTATTATTGTGGATTAAGGAAAAAGAATTAGTAGGAGACAGTGTTGTGGAGTCTATTATTTGTGAGAAGGCAAGGCAGTTTGTTGCTTGAGAACCTTGCAAAGAAAATGCCTGGAACAAGTGCTGCAGTTTGTGAATTTAGGGTCAGCAAAGAATGGTTTGATAGATTTAAGAAGCGTAGTGGCATACACAGTGTTGTAAGGCATGGTGAGGCTGCAAGTTCTGACAATGTGCGGCTGGACTATGTAAAGGCTGAAAGATTCAAACCCCAACAAGTGTTCAATTGTGATGAAACAGGCCTATTTTGGAAGAAAATGCCAAACAGGACAGGCTTACTCTTTTGTTGTGTGGTAATGCTAGTGGAGATTTCAAAGTGAAGCCTTTACTTGTGTATCGCTCAGAAAATCCCAGTGTTTTCAAGAAAAACAATGTCATGAAGAATAAATTGTGTGTGAAGTGAAAAGCTAATCATAAGGCATGGGTCACTAGGCAAATTTTCAAAGAGTGGGTTAATGATGTGTTTGGCCCAAGTGTGAAACAATGCCTCCTGTAAAAGAAATTGCCACTCAAGTGCCTCCTGGTACTGGACAATGCTCTTGCACATCCTCCAGACTTGCAAGACCAAGTGTTTAGGAACTTCAGTTTCATCACAGTGGTTCTTGCCTCCTCACACCACTTCCTCTCCTCCAGTCCATGGACCAGCAGGTCATTTCTAACTTCAAAAAACTCTACACATAAGCAGCATTTCAAAAGTGCTTTGAAGTGACCTGGGACACTCAGCTGACCCTAAGAGAGTTCTGGAGGAATTACTTAACTAGGTAGGGCTTGGGAGGGAGTGACTTCCAGGACTTTGAACTCTGCTTGGAGAAAACTGTGGCCAGATTGTGTCCAAGAGTGAGAGTTTGAAGGGTTTCAGGCTGACCCTGACCCTGCTGACCCTGTGGACTCTGTTGTGGCACTGGAGAAGTCCCTGGGGTTGGAGGTGAGTGGAGAGAATATGGAAGAGTTGGTGGAGGACCACATGGAAGAGCTAACCACTGAAGAGCTGCAAGAGCTTCAACTCGAACAGCAACAGACTGCAGCTGAGAAATTTGCTTCAGAGAAGGAGGAAGAGGGAGTGAAGGAGGTGCCTTCTTCATTGATTAAGGACATTTGTGCAAAGTAGAGTGATGTGTAAAGTTTTGTCGAGAAGTACCCCCTGACAAAGCTGAAACAAGCCATATCTGCAACATGTTTGGTGACAAAACCGTCCCACTACAGGGAAATCTTTAAGAGACACCAGAAAGAGAGCACTCTGGACAGTTATATTTGTGAGACAGGGGTCCAGTGACTTAAGCTGGTCTTAGTGGCATTAAAAGACCAAGAAGAGAAGTAACCCCAGATAAGGACTTGGTACCTGAAGTCCTTATGGAGGGGGATTCCCCTTCCAAACACTAAGCCCTCCCGCTTTCCTCCTCCCTATCTTCCAGAAGCCAGCATTAGTCTTCAATAAAGGTATGTAATATTTATATAATTGCTAAAAAAAAAAAAAATTTGAATATTTTTGTCTGGAACGGAATAATTGTATTTCCATTAATTCCTCTGGGAAATATTTCAGTTTTCAGCCGACCTTCCGGAACGGATTATGACCGATAACTGAGGGTCCAATGTAACAGGTATGTATAGGACTTGTATATAGGGTTTGCTACTATCCGCAGTTTTGGTATCCATAGTAGATCCTTGGAATGCTCCCCCGTAAATACGTGGTTCCTACTATACTTTCCTGAGGTATTCAAGTCATATTTGTTATTTGAATGCCCCTAATTACCTCATTATTCCCTTACCTGTGTTGGGGATCCTCAACAAAAGGCTGACTGAGGAGTTTCTTACTATTCTGCTCAGGTCCATCTTCTTCTTCCACTCGAAAGCCAAACTCGTCGAATCTGTTGAGAAGTTTCAAAATATCCGTTCGATTACATAATTTCTTTCTTCTTACAGTTCAAACTATGAAAAAATATAAGTTAAGGACATACTCTCCTTAACACACTAACAATATGTCAGTGAATGCTTCAAATGTACAATTAATTTGTCAAAAACTACGTACTTCCAATGCAGCCATACCACCTCTTATTCAAATGCATGAATTAATGCAGTAAAAGTTTCCAAATCCTAATACACGTGTCTGATTTATATTTCTTTTTCTTTCTTTCAATGCACCAGCTGTATCCCACCAAGGCAGGGTGGCCCAAAAAAGAAAACACTTTTACCATCATTCACCTATGGAGACGAAGAATATTTTCCATGGAAGCAGAAGGGAAATCTATGAGAGTATAGTGGTACCAGCACTCTTATATGGGTGTGAAGTAAGGGTTGTGAATGTTGCAGTGAGGAGGAAGCTGGAGGTTGGAGGCAGTGGAGATGTCATGTCTATGGGTAATGCATAGTGTAAATATTATCCAGAGAGTTTGTAGCTTGGAGATTAGGAGAAGGCTGAGCAGGGGTTGTTGAGGTGGTCTGGACATTTAGAGGATGGAGAAAATAGGATGAATTGGAGGGTGTATAAATCTGTAGTGGAGGGAAGGTAGGGTAGGGGTTGCCCAAGGAAAGAGTGGAGAGAGGGAGTAAAGGAGGTTTTATGTGCAAGGGGCTTGGACATCCAGCAGGCATGTGTGTGAGCAAGTTAGATAGGAATGGAGGCAAATGGTTTTTGGGACTTGACAGATTGTCAGATTCAGGGAAACTACTTAGCCAGACTCGAGTCCTGGAGGTGGGAAGTACAATGCCTGCACTCCGAAGGAGGAGGAGTGGGTATATTTGCAGTTAGGAGAGCCATCTGAATTTAGTACCAGTGCACTTCTTGCAAGACAGTGGTAGAAAAATGTTTCTATACTTATAGTATATTTACAAAAGAAATGTAATAATTATTTTAGCATAATAATACAGTAGAACCCATGTATCCACAGATTTGGTATTTGCAAGAAGCCCCTATCACGCACTTTTAACATCCTATGGAGAGGGAGCATGGACACAGGGTTCATCCCACAGCTGCTAAAAACAACAGACATAGCCCCACTCCACAAAGGGGGCAGTAAAGCAATAGCAAAGAACTACAGACCAATAGCACTAACATCCCATATCAAAAATCTTTGAAAGGGTTCTAAGAAGCAAGATCCCCACCCATCTAGATTCCAATCAGTTACACAACCCAGGGTAACATGGGTTTACAGCAGGTCGCTCCTGTCTATCCCAACTAATGGACCACTATGACAAGGTCCTGGATGCTCTAGAAGACAGACAAAACACAGATGTAGTATACACAGACTTTGCAAAAGCCTTTGACAAGTGCGACCATGGTGTAATAGCACACAAAATGCATGATAAAGGAATAACAGAAAAAGTTGGTAGGTGGAGCAATAATTTCCTCACACATAGAACACAAAGAATAGTAGTAAAACAGAGTAAAGTCCGAGGTGACTTTGGTGAAAATCTCTGTTTCCACAAGGCAGAGTACTCACTCCCATCTTGTTCCTCATGTCTGGCAGACAGGGATGTAAGCCACAGCACCATGTCTTCCTTTGTAGGTGACACTCAAATCTGCACGACAGTGTCTTCCATTGAAGACACCGCAAGACTCCAGGCAGACATCAAGCAAATCCTTAAATGGGCTGCAGAAAACAATATGAAGTTCAATGATGAGAAATTTCAATGACTCAGATATAGAAAGCGTGAAGAAATTAAAACTACATCAGAGTATAAAATAAATTCCAACCACACAATAGAACAAAAAACTAACATAAAAGACCTGAGAGTGATCATGTCAGAGGATCTCGCCTTCAAAGACCATAACATTGTATCAGTCGCATCCACTAGAAAATTGACAGGATGGATAATGAGAACCTTCAAAACTAGGGATGCCAAGCCCATGATGACACTCTTCAGGTCACTTTCTATCTAGGCTGGAATATTGCTGCACACTAGCAGCACCTTTCAAGGCAGGTGAAATTGCCAATGTAGAAAGTGTACAGAGAACCTTTATGGGACACATAACTGTGATAAAACACCTCAATTACTGGGAACACTTGAAGTTCCTCAACCTGTACTCCCTAGAATGCAGGCTGGAGAGATACATGATTATATACACTTGGAAAATCCTAGAGGGATTGGTACCAAACTTGCACACGAAAATCACTCCCTACGAAAGCAAAAGACTCGGCAGACAATGCAACATCCCCCGAATGAAAAGCAGGGGTGCCACAAGTACACTGAGAGAACACAATAAGTGTCCAGGGCCCAAGACTGTTCAACTGCCTCCCAGCATACACAAGGGAGGATTACCAATAGACCTCTGGCTGTCTTCGAGAAGGCACTGAACAGGCACCTAAATCAGTACCTTACCAGCCGGGCTGTGGTTCATACATCGGGTTGCATGCAGCCAGCAGTAACAGCCTGGTGGATATACTCCAGGTATCCACAGTTTACTGTGGCCCAAAAATAACCCTTAATTTTGCTCAACCTTTTGACTGTCGAGACCCCAAATCCTGAAGCATCTCTGTCGCAAAATATTAAAAAAAAAAAGTACGAAACTGATGGAAAACTTACGGAATTACACTCACGAACTTAGTGATCTCAACGATATATACGCATCGGTAATTTTGCCCAATGTGAGCCCTATTTTCAGCCAATTCCATTGTTCCAGTCAACCAAACTCATAGCTATTTCTTTAGAACTCCATTTGTTCTATCAACTGAGTACAAGAAACCACCCATTTACCAATTTCAACTACCCAATAAAGTGGTCAGAAATTTGCAATTTGGCCAATTTCATGCAAATTAAGAAAGATGCCAATTTCAAATTAGGGCCCAGAATAAATAATGCAGACATTCCTTGCACTAAAATAACGTTTTCTCTGTTCATTAGCCACATCTCCAGGCCTCTCTATTTTGAATTTTTATTCACACAATAAATAGAAGATTTACTGTTATGCAGACTACTGCATTATTATAATAATTGTATAAATAATGTCAACCCATTCATGACTGCGTATTAGAATGGCTAGTTGGGCATATATATATTCTTTTTTTTCAACAAACCGGCCGTATCCCACCAAGGCAGGGTGGCCTAAAAAGAAAAACTAAAGTTTCTCTTTTTAAATTTAGTAATTTATACAGGAGAAGGGGTTACTAGCCCCTTGCTCCTGGCATTTTAGTCGCCTCTTACAACACGTATGGCTTACGGAGGAAGAATTCTGTTCCAGTTCCCCATGGAGATAGAGGAAATAAATGAACAACAACTAGAAAGAAAATAGAAGAAAACCCAGAGGGGTGTGTGTGTGTGTGTGTGTGTGTGTGTGTGTGTGTGTGTGTGTGGTGTGTGTGTGTGTGTGTGTGTGTGTGTGTGTGTGTGTATACATATGCTTGTACATGTATGTGTAGTGTGACCCAAGTGTAAGTAGAAGTAGCAAGATGTACCTGCAATCTTGCATGCTGATGATAGAAAAAAAAAAAAAGACACCAGCAATCCTACCATCTTGTAAAACAATTACAGACTTAAGTTTTACACTCACCTGGCAGGATGGTAGTGCCTCCCCGGGCAGCTACTGTCTACCAGCCTACTACCTTGGAAGTTGGAGACCTACTCTTTTATAACGAAAGCCTTCTGTAACTAACACTAATTTTTAATGCATTCCTTTATCTTTATCTACGGAGCCCATAATAGTAGTAATCAATGTATTGTACAAGGTTTAAGAAATATATCCAGCTAACCGGTAATCAGGCTGATGATTAGGGTCATGGTGATGGTCTTGTTGCGAGAGTTTTGTGAGGATGTCCTGTGGCCACATGGAGGGAGTAATGGCAGAGAAGGGGCCTCCGCTGCATGGCTCAGTCACACCACTACCAATTCTTATACCTGGTGAGAAAGAGGGCAAAGATAACCCAAGAATGCCAAATACAATAGTATAATTTATGCTAACTGGCATCTTTCTCAGAGTACAACTCACAACTGCCTACCAACTCTTAGGGTACCATTTTACTGTTGTGTGAACAGGGGCAACAAATACAAAGTCTTGCCCATGTGACTTGCCTCACCTTGGCATTAATAGAGCCAAGTGCTCTATTAAGCTACAATTCACAATTTTACTAGGCAGCATGTCAAACACTGGACTCACATATTTTTCAAAGCAACATCAGAAACATTTAACATTAATGTTTAGCACATGCATTATTATATTAAAAACCTGCATGGGTCATACTGCTTTAAACTTTAAATTGTACAGTATACTGCACTGCAAGTTTCTTAAGTATAAATTATTATTCAGAAACTCCTTGTACTGCATATGTTAATGCTGCCTAGATAGAGATCTCTTATTAGCTAATTGATCACACAGACTGCATTGCACAAACTAACAGTGCATGAGCACTTGACTGATCATGTGCCTGAAGAAGAAATTTATTTAAAAAATTGTTTTTCAGTTGTCAAAAATGATGCAAGCAATTTAATTACATTTCCTACTGTACATTACTGGCTTGGTTACAAACCTACATGTTAGCCTAAAAATGTATTCAAACAGTAAAATAGGATCACATGAAGATTCTCCTCCAAAAAGAAGTTATTATATTCATGGGGAAGTGCTAAACTTGTAAGGATCATACAGCATATAAAGAATATAAAGTAATTAGGTTTGATCTAAGAAAGGAAAGAGAAGTTCCAATTCCCCAGGTCAAGAGCCTTACACCAACATCAATTAACCCCCTTGTAGGGAAAGAGAACAATATTGTTAAAAAAATTGTAGTACTGTATGTGCTAATTTGTAATTTTGTAGCAAAACTTATTTCTTACCAATGTGCTACATCACATCAATAACTGAAGCATGAAATTTTACCTGTGCTCAGTAAGTACATTATCTTGCCCTAACTTTGCTCACCTGTGCTCAGTCCCTCAGGAGTATCTGGCAGAAACACATCATCATTATCCTCATCATCTGCAGCAGTATCAATGTGGATGTGGGTTGTACCATCTGAGTAACCATCTGGGGCACGGGTCCCAAAAAGGGAGCGTGCTATCTCCATTACAACGAGGTCACTGTTTTATTATAAGCCTTTGTGAACACAAAAATAAAGGCTAAGTGGCTTTGGATCTGCAGAATAAAATAAAAATTAATGTATGTATGAGATACCATATATAATATTAAATTCAACTATTTTAAACTCAGTCTTTAATGGCAAGTACTGGCCCAAAATGGGCTACCTTATATGAAAAATAATTCCCCAAAGTATGATCACATTGGCTCTGTACTAAAAAATTTTCCCACTTCCTTCCTATGCTATGCTAAACTCAAGATAGACCTATGCTATGCTAGACTCAAGTTAGGATAGACCTATGTTATGCTAAACATGGCTTAAGATAGACCTAGGCTAAGCTAAACTCAAGAAGACTTAGGTATCCCGTTGTTACCATCTGGCATTCACCACCTGTCTCAGGTACCTGGTATCATCACATTTGGTACCTGACATCATTCCTCTGCACCACCTGCCTCTCACACCTGTTCTCAGCCACTCACACCAGCTATCAGCTCAACAGTGCCACCTGTCACCCACCTGAGAGCCAGGCGGCGTCCTCCCCTGCAACAGCTGCAACCTTCTCAACACAACACTGAGTGGCCGCGTTCACCACCTACTGACGTCATTAACTCTGATTCCGGAATTCAGATCTGAGCGGCCGCGTTCACCAACCATTGACGTCACTAACTATGGACATAAATTCAGATTATGGAAAAAATATGATATATAATACTGACACGATGAATAAAGACACAAATGCAGACAATTTTATTCCTATAAAGTGTACAGTATATAACTGACAGTGGAGTAAATGACGTGTATTACCACTTCATAAAAGCCTCCTTGTAATTAAGTTTATTTAGGTACAGGTACACATAAATACAGTTACACAAATTATCATACATAGTAACATATGTGTAAATTACCTAGGATAAACCAGAAAAGCCAGACAAGTGATTTATTTCCGTGCCCCGTGGCCTGGTGGCTAAAGCTCTCGCTTCACACGGTGACGTCTGGGTTCGATTCCCGACAAGGGTAGAAATATTGGGCGCGTTTCTTTACACCGGTTACCTATGTTCACTCATCAGTAAAATAGGTACCAGGGTGTACTTGTTATTTTTTTTTCTTATTCTCCGGTACTCTCCCGGCCCGGGTCTTTTCCAAGTAGTGGTGACCCGGCCTGCCAAGCATTTCGAGCAGCCACAAAATTAGTTTATAATTACTAAGCAATGAAATATATATAGTAGATTTCTAGAATACTATAATTTGCCATAATTGACATTTAAGCACTGTGACAATTTATTGTATGAATTATGATACCTGGAGTATACTGGACCAGCTAGCTTCAATAAGATTCATCCAACTAGGTATATTTCTACACCATAGAAAGGTTAGCATAGGCACCACTGACCGCGGGTTCAAACCCCACCCGTGGTATGGTTTGTTTGCAGTCGTGCATTACGATTTCGTGAGTCATGTTGACGGCTTTGAGGAGACTTGAACTAGAGTTCGTCACGGCCATGCTAGAGGGAGATTCGTCTGTAAAACTTGCATTTGTGGACACAGTAGTGCCTATGCTAACCTTCCTATGGTGTAGAAATATACCTAGTTGGGTAAGTCTTATTGAAGCTAGCTGGTCCAGTGACTAACGCGACGGTCTGGAGTTCTGAGACTCTCTGACCGCGGGTTCGAACCCCACCTGTGGTATGGTATCTTTGCCTACAAGGCCACGAGACACCCTACATCAGGCTTAAAATATGAAATAGATATTAAATCGATTTAGTGTATTTTATGTATATAATGTTGTTAATCGACAGTTGAAGGGTAAGGACTTTTTATCTGAGTTCAATCCTGCCGGGTAGAACGTTGGGTATGTTTCTTTATGGTGCCTCTTTCAGTACATAAGTATGTACCGGGTGTGTCGACTGTGTAGGTGCATCCTGGACAAACGAACATAATGAATAGACAGACAGTCCTCGATATGTACTGATTTCTTTGTTACTGGGTGGCTAACTCCCTACCTGGAGTTTACTGAGTAATGGTAACTCGACTCCATAACTCCAATTCGGATTAAATCTGAAAGTCTTATGTTGGTTTCATTCTCCAGGAAGAGTCGAACTGCTGGGTTGAGGTTCCCTATGAGTGTCCTTATGGATGTTTTGTGTGTTCAGTAAGTAAACACTTTTGAGCAGTGTGTGCGTGTGTTGCCTGCAGCCTGCATGGCTGATTATTCTAACATATACCCGTCACTGAGGTAAGTAAGTTTATTCAGTTATACATAAAAACAGTTACATAGATTATCAAACATATGTGTAAAGAACATGGAATAACCCAAAAAAGTCAGTGACTTATTTTCATTGGGGTCGTTTGAGGGAAGGACAGATCAGAGAGGATAACAGAGTAGTGTTGCTTCGGGAACAAAGTAATGTGGCTTTTTTGATAGACTGTCCACAGTTCTGGAGATTTTCTTAGATGTGTGTTATATATGTGTTAAATTTTAGGTTGCAGTCAGGTATTTCCCTTAGAATTTTCCCCTCGTTTTTGCTTTTGAGTGAATCATTTATTTTTTGGTTTAAACGGATATTTATATTTTTATTCCCAAACAAGATGTAGAAAGTCTTGTCAATACTGAGAATAAGTTTGTTGGTTGTCATCCTGGTATTACCAGCTTTTAGTTCAGTGTTCTTGATGACACCATCTGGATCAGACATGACAAATAATGTGTAATAATGTGATCCTATATTAACAAGGTTCCTCCCACACTGTGAGCTTTATCAAGTGAATTGATAAAGCTCACTGTGTGGGCGAAACGTTGTCAATAAAGAATCTCATTATACTGCATTTGTTTTAAACTTTTTTTATCCATTTCAGATCTTCTTTGAGGAACCGCGTTCACCAGCCACTGACGTCACAAACTCTGAATTCAGATTTCAGATATTTCTTGAAGGGCCGCGTTCATCGGCCACTGACGTCACTAACTCTGAATCTGGATTTCAGATCGGCCCTGAGGGGCCGCGTTCATCAGCCACTAAGTCACTATGAATCCGGATTTTAGATCATCCTTGAGGAGCCGCGTTCACCGGCCACTGACGGCGCTAACTCTGAATCTGCATTTCAGATCTTTTGATTGGCTTAACTCCTATTGTTATCAAGTGCACCTAAGTATCGTTTACTCCATGTTTTCAGTATTTGATCTTTGATAATAGAGGTCATCCGAGGTGAGAGCATTACAATGAGTTCAAGAAGAGGTCGGAAATTAAGTCTAGGTTCTCCCTGAATAATAATAATAATAATCTTAACTTCTACAAGTACAAGATGTAACTTATATAGACTTAGCTGACATCAATGACATACAGAAAGCCCCTGGTTATGCAGAACACTTCGGGCAATTTAGGTTAATTTTGTCCCCAGGATACGACCCACACCAGCCGGCTAACACCTAGGTACCTACTTACTGCTAGGTGAGCAGGGGCAGCAGGTGTCTCGCTTCACACGGCGAGGGTAAAAACAATGGGGGTATTTCTTTACACCGGTTATCTATGTTCACCCATCAGTAAAGTGGGTGCCTGGGTGTTAGTGGACTGGTGTGGGTCGCATCCTGGGACAAAACTGACCTAATTTGCCCGAAATGCTCTGCATAACAAGCGGCTTTCTATGTAATAGTATATCATTGATGTCAGCTAGGACTGTATACCTTGTACATGTACTTGTAGAAATAAAGATATTATTATTATTATTATTATTATTATTATTATTATTATTATTATTATGTTTCCACCCGTACCGGAGATCCAACGATGGAAAGTCAATGTGTGAGCTGAGTGCGCTACCAACCGAGCTACGGTCGACTGCCAACGTGATCCGTGATTTCTCAGACTCAGTGGCTGTCTCTCCATGAGAGGTCCATGTGGGTCTCGTGTGGCAAGAGTATTGTTTCTGACAATGGTGTCCAAAAATACAATTGCCGAGGTCAAGGACTCGAGGTCAGGGGACAGGGAGGTCAAAGACAAGGTCAGGAGATGGGGAGATCACGGACTCAAGGTCAGAGGATGGGGAGGTCAAGGACTCAAGGTCAGGGTTGGGGAAGTCAAGGACTCAAGGTCAGGGGTTGGGGAAGTCAAGGACTCAAGGTCAGGGGATGAGGAGGTCAGAGACGGAAAAATAAGGGTTTTGGAGGAAATACAACGAATTCTGGTAATTACTTCAAGTATCTCCGAAGGGGTACCTTTATGAGCAAGACTCATTCAGACTCTTCACCAACAATGATGATCTGATACGAAATATAACAGTATCAAAGTCAATACACTCAGATCACAACATAATAGAGGTACAGACATGCATGTGCAGGGCTCTTGACCAGCAAACCGTGACCATTTATGAAGGTGCCTTCACCAAATTTAACTTCAACTACAAAAATATGCAGTAGGATCAAGTCAACCATGTCCTGTTGATAAATTAGACACATGTGCAACTCTTGGGTATCTTTATTGAGGAAACGTTTCGCCACACAGTGGCTTCATCAGTCCATACAAAGGAGAATCTTGAAGAATTGGAGGAGAATGAGGTAATCAGTCCCTCAACCTTGAGTCGATGTGGTCAGTCCATCAATCTTGAATAGAATACGGCATACGTGCTGAGAAGGAGCTTATATACCTACTTCAACATTGAATAAGTGTTACACTGCCTCTGACTGCTTCACCTCTCCTGCCAACGGTATATAAGCTCCTTCTCAGCACGTATGCCGTATTCTATTCAAGATTGATGGACTGACCACATCGACTCAAGGTTGAGGGACTGATTACCTCATTCTCCTCCTATTCTTCAAGATTCTCCTTTGTATGGACTGATGAAGCCACTGTGTGGCGAAACGTTTCCTCAATAAAGATACCCAAGAGTTGCACATGTGTCTAATTTATCAACATGTCGGTTCTCTGAACCATTCATCTACTCAACCATGTCCTAAATGAAACAAGTTGGGAGGATATCCTACACAACACAGATACGAACCTTTGCCTAGAAAGAATTAACTCTGTGGCACTTGAGGTGTGCTCAAGGTACATTCCTTTAAGAAAAAGGAAGAGAAGATGTAAACAAGAAAGAGAGAGATGTTCCCTGTACAGAAGGCAAAGAATCACAGAGCTGTTGAAAGGGGCCAGCATATCTGAAATACGAAGGGAGGCACTGGTCAGAGAAATAGCAAATATCGAATTTAGGCTTATGGAATCATACAGGAAACAAGAAACTTAAGAAGAACTTAAAGCCATCAGTGAAACTGAAAAAAAAAATATTTCTTTTCTTACGCCATATCTAAGGCAAAAAAAAAACATCAAGTGTTGGGCTCCTGCTTAGACGTGATGGGACTTACACAGATGACAGCAAAGAAATGGGTGAGATGCTACGATTTCGTGAGTCATGCTAAAGTCCAAGTATGACTCAGTGTTTAGCGAGCTATTAACCGGACTAAGAGCGAAAATCTAAATGAATTTTATGACCGAGACTCAAAATCTGGTCAACCCAAAAAATCTCCGATATTATCTTAACACCACAAGACTTCGAAAAAGCAATAAATGACATACCCATACTCTCAGGCCCAGGCCCAGACTCGTGGAACTATATGTTCAT